TGTGAGGCCCAGGTGAGGGACATGCTCTGTGGGGCCAGGCACAAGCCACAGGAAACCCTGGCTGCTGGGCCCTTGTGAGCACAGCCGCAGTTCTGGAGCTTTCCCTCCGGCCCTCTGGGCTGTCTCCCGTGCTTCTGGGCACTGGCTGCCCTGAGTCAGCTGGGCTTGGAATCATGGAGGAGCAGGGGCTGGATCCCAGGAGCCATGTGCACAGTAGGGTTATAGCACCTGTATGCAGGTGGTCGTGGGGACTAGGGTTTTTGCCATTCTGATGCCTCGGCCTCGAGCAATGGGACCCAATTGCTGACTCCCAGCCTCGAGTGGGCGGCACAGGCCAGCCGAGCCCCCAAAGCCCCTGGCTGTGCTGTCTGGGCTCTGCAGCCTGCAGTGTTTCGCTCAGCTCCGGGCCCGAGAAGAGGAGGCTGAGGCCCCATCTGCAGGGGCAGAGGCGGATGGCGGCTCGGGGCGCCGCAGCTGCGTCTGCTGTTCTCATGCTCGCACGGGCGTGGACGGCGCGGAGAGGAGGGCGTGAGGAGGGGGTGTGAGATGCAGCCGGTCTCCCCTGAGCCAGCTGGGCGGCCCTGGGTGACGCTGAGCTCCTTCCCTCTCCCCACTGTCCCCTTCAGTTGGCAGGATGGTGGCGACAGCCCAGGGCGGGGCTGCGTGGGGGTGTCTCTGAGTAGCGTGGTGGTCCCCACCCTCCGGCCTCTGAGCCTCAGGAGCTGCCAACACATTTCCCTAGGGCTTCGTTCTGGACTGGGGTTGTGGTCAGGAGGAGGGGGACTGAACCAGGCCCCATGTACCCCCCCACACACACAGCCACCACCTGCCACCCAGAGCAAGTGCTGAGAGCAGCTCGTCCATCTCTGGGTCCCAGTGGGACACACTCACAGAGAGAGCTCCCAGCTGGGGGCCCCTGTCTAGCCTCACCCAGCTCCGGGTGGTCCCCTGGCTGGAGGCTGTGTGCTGAGGTCAAGCACTGCCTTCGTGACTCCAGACAGCTGGGTGGCTCCTCCTAGGGGGACAAAGGCCCCGCCTGGCTCTCAACACTAGCCTGATGTCCCTTCAGCTGCACGCAGACCCAACCCAGGTCACAGTCAGTCCTGGGGCGAATAGGTGACTGTTCCCTGGTCATCCACGAAACAGATAGGAATGTGTCTGGTTGACAGTCCCCACCTGTTTCACACACCCAGGCAGTCTGTGCTTGGGGGAGGGGACAATGCCCGTGTGTGTGCATAGGCATTTGTGTGTTTGTGTGTGTGTGTGCGTTTGAAGGCGCTCTGATGGCGCAGTGGTTAAGCACTCAGCTGCTAACTAAAAGGTTGATGATTCAAACCCACCAGCTGCTTTGCAGGAGAAAGCTGTGGCGGTCTGCTTCCGTAAAGATTACAGCCTTGGAAACCCCGTGGGGCAGTTCTCCCCTGTTCTGGGGTTGCAGTGAGTTGGTATTGGCTCGACAGCAACAGTGCAGGCGCACATTTGTGCATGTGAGTGTATGTGAGTGTATGTCTGCATATGTGAGTGTATGTGTGTGCGTGTGAGTGTATGTGTGTGAGTGTATGTGTGTGCGTGTGAGTGTATGTGTGTGCGTGTGAGTGTATGTGTGTGCGTGAGTGTATGTGTGTGCGTGTGAGTGTGTGTGCGTGTGAGTGTATGCGTGTGCGTGAGTGTATGTGTGTGCGTGTGTGTGTGCGTGTGAGTGTATGTGTGTGCGTGTGAGTGTATGCGTGTGCATGTGTGTGAGTGTGTGTTGGCTGCCTGGCTGGCCCTGTGACAGCACCCCCCCCCCGCACCTTCGAGGGGACTGACTGTTTTCACTCCTAACCTAAGACGTGAGGCCGTGTGCAATGTTACCAACAAGGCCAGACGTGTTAACATGAGGACCAGCAGGGGTGGGACAGTGACCGCAGCTCAGGCCGCAGCCACGTTGGTGGAAGGCTGGGGGGGCGGGGCGCCGTTTTCAGGACATTGTGTGTGTCGTTGGTGAAGCCCAGTGTGCCCACCTGCCCCCAATTCTCTTCCCACTGTCCCCACTCCTGCATGGCGGCCGGGCCTTCCTGCAGCCCCCCTGACCTCCTGCCCTGGGTGGGCCTGCTGGTCTGGGAGTGACAGGGCTGCCACCTCTGACTCACCTGCTGCCCCTCCCGCGGTGACACTTCCTGGAGCCCTGACAGCAGATGATGGATGTCACACTACTTGATCCTATTTTAAGCTGGTTGGCCGGGTTGGCCCCGCCTGCATTGTGGGTGTGTGGACGGGGTTCCTGAGGGGTCAGTGAGCCCAGGTGGCCTCCTCCCTCCCTGTGAGTGTGACAGCTCTGTGGCCGGCGCTGTCCTGCAGGCCAGGGGTCGGGGGCTGTTTGTGGGGTGTCAGGGTCAATTTCTGCCCAGGTCCCCCCCGCCACAGGGCATCTACTCAGGGCCTCGCCCTCATCCCCCACTGGGTCATTCCCTGTCAACCTGGGCCCCTTCCCTGAGCACCCGAATTTTTGGGGTGCTCAGGCACTCAAGTGGGTCGATGGAGTGCTCAGGCACTCAAGTGGGTCAAGTCTTCACCGTGGCCACGTGGCGCCGCGGCACAGTTGGCTTTCTGCATTCCCGGGAGTTGTCCTCCCGGAGGTGGGCAGTGCCTCTCACACTGGCAGTGCGGCTCTGGAGCCAGGTGGAGGAGCCCCGTTCTCCTGCCCCTGATGGGGGTGGCGGCCAGGCCATGGTGTTGGTCTCCACGAAGGTGCCAGCTCGCCAGGCACATGACCGATGTTTATCAGAGTTCAGGGATTTGTGCCGAGCAGGGCGGGAGGCCCGGCGAGTCCTCCCTGCCAGCACGTGGGCAGTGTCGTCGTGGAGACAGACCAGCCAGGTGTGAGCGCAGCCAGGGCCCGAGCTGCGGGCACGGCTGTTAAGGTGGCACCAGGGCTCAGAGTCGCTCATACCCACAGACACACAGGCACTGATGCACACGTAGATACGTGCACACATGTACACCCACACATAGATCCGCACGCACATGGGCACACTCACACAGCCGCACACGTACATACCCACACACTCACACTCACACGCATACACGCCCATGCACACGTCCGGCATGTGGCACTGCCCCATCCCTCACACAGCTCCCGTGCTGGGCCGCATGGGGACAGTGGCGCACGCTGGCTGGGCTTGTGCTGTCCCCTGGCCCTCACTCCCTGAGGAGCCGCTGTGTCCCTGTGGGGGTGGTAGGGCATCGTGAGAGCTCAGCTTGGCCAGGTAGCCCAGGGGTCCATGTGGCCCCCTCCTGTGTCTGACGGGCTCTCCTGAGCGTGTCTCCCTCTCTGCGTCTCAGGCGCGCTGTCTCTGTGATGAGCATGGCAAGAGGCCCCGCGTCCCTAACAGTGAGACAGTCCTGTGGTCATAGCTGCTGTGTGGCCCTGCCTCAGGGCCCCATGGAAAGCACTGTGTCCCTCTCCTCCCCCCAGGCAGATACCTCTGCATGGGTGGCCAGCAAGAGCCAGCACTGTGCAGAGGGACACGCCAGCAGAGGGGTGCTCAGAGCCAGCCGGGCCTCAGAGGCGCCTCTTGCCTGTGCGTTACGGCCACGGCTCTGTGTGTGCGTTACGGCCACGGCTCTGTGTGTGCGTTACGGCCACGGCTCTGTGTGTGCATTGTGGCCACGGCTCTGTGTGCGTTGTAGCCATGGCTCTGTGTGTGTGTGTTGTGGCTGTGGTCGGCTGGGCAGGCGTCCCGGCCGCTGCAGAGCAGGGCGGCAGGCATGGTGTGACTTCAGCTGTGCCACCGTGTACTGCTGGTGACCAGGGTGGGTTCTTTCTTGCTCACTCGGCCGAGGCGCCTAGCCTCAAGGGGCAGTGTGCCGACCAGAGGAGCATGCTGTAAATCCCGTCTGTGGTCAGCAGGGGTGGCGCCCCACAGAGCGCTCTGGGGGCTCAGGTGAACCAGACGCCTGCAGCCCCCAAGCACGCCGGCTGGCCACATCACTGGGCCTCATGCTGCCGTCCAGGATGGGACTCATCCCGCACAGCCAGGACTCAGCTTTCCCAGCCCACCCTTTGCAGGGACTGCCACGACACAGCTTGCCCTGTCTGCCCTTTGCAGGGACCACCATGACTTAGCTTTCCCTGTCCGCCCTTTGCAGGGACTGCCACGACTCAGCTTTCCCAGCCCACCCTTTGCAGGGACCACCACAGTCCCCGGCTGTCCTCGTTCGGGAACAGTGTGCGAGGAGAATGGGCCTGGTTGTCCCCGAGGCCTTGGCGGTGTGTGCCTGGGTTCCAGCATGCCAGCGGCCAGGGTCCAGGAGCAGCCCTGGACAAGGCCTCCTCACACCTCCATTTCCTTGGGAAGTGAGCTGCGATGCTGGGCTCAGGGTCCAGGTGGCTGTGGGACCTGGGTTCTGCTCTTTCTTCATTCAGTCACCCCATGAAGGGGAGAGGTGGGAGCGGGCCGCCCCACTCTGCAGCTCCTCGGCCACCTCTCCTGCTCCCCATGGGTCAGCGACCCTCAGGAGGTGTTCTCTCCCGTGTCGGGCTTGTAGCTGTCAGCAGGGGCCTGTGGTGGGCTGGACCCGAGGTGGTGAGTGTGTATGCACACGAGGGTGCCATGTGGGCCAGATGCGTGTGTGTGCACACAGGGGCTTGGGATTCGAAACGCACAGTGAGGGGTCTTCTGTCTCCATCCTTGTGACGAGTGCCAGCTCTGGTGCAGACCCCCAAGGTCCCCTGCTGGGGTCTTGAGGTGCCAAGCGCTCATGCGTTTGTGTTTGGGGTCCTGGTCACAGTAGGGTCCTCTGCTTTCAGGGCGTGCGCCGTGGGGAGAAGCAGCATCCCCTCTGCCCCCCGTCCCGCCCCAGCCCCCGGTTTACCTGTGCCTGCCACTGGGCGGGGAAGCTCGGAGACCTGTGTCGGCCCCTGTGTCATACCGGCCCCCACCGTGCGGACGGGTGCTGGGTGAATTCGGGGTCGCTAACCCTCCCCTTCCCTTTCTTCTCCCACCTTGTGTCCCCAGGAGATGTTCTCTTCCAGATGGCGGAGGTCCACAGGCAGATCCAGAACCAGCTGGAAGAAATGGTGAGCACGGCCTGCTGCTCGGGGGGGACATGCTGCTGGTGGGGGGGTGCTGCTGCTCGGGGGGACGTGCTGCTGCTCGGGGGGATGTGCTGCTGCTTGGGGGGATGTGCTGCTGCTCGGGGCAACATGGTGGGGAGTGTTGGCCTGGCCCTGGCCCAAGCGTCCGCCTTCATGTGGCCACGCACAGAAGGGGGGAACACATCCCAGGTTCGGGACAGAACGCCTGGGCAGGCTCTCAGGAGCCCCAGGTGATGACCCTGTGGGGGCTGTAGGGCACAGCATGGGCCAGTCTGGGGTCCCCGCTAGCTACCTGCCAGGTAGGGGACGGTGTGTGGCTGCCGGGGGCGAGCACACCATGGTCTCAGGCCCCCAGGATGCAGTCCTGTGAGGAGAGGCCACCTCTTGGGGTTTTATTTCCTTCTGAGATGAACTGGAAGTCCAGGGGTCCCTTGTATGGTTCCAGTTGCAAGATGCAGGCACAGCCCTTACTCTGAGCCAAACATTTGGGGGCCACTCGTGTGCAGTCTCTGGCCTAAAGCAGGGGTCCTTCCCCAGCCCCAGCTTGTGTTCAAGTGCAGGGCTAGGTGGCCCCCAGCCCCGAGCAGCAGGAAGCCCCCGGCTGGTAGGCCGTGTGCATGTCTGGTATTTCTAGATCTGTGCTCCACGCCCGCAGCCTTGGGATTTCTGCATGCAGAAGTGTCAGCGGTCGGGGGTGTCTGTGCCAAGTGCCGCATGCTGAGCTGTGGTGACTGCCACCTCGTCCCAGGTCCCCCTACCCCACCTCGGGGCTCCTGGCCGTGCGTGTCCTAGCCGACAGCTCAGAGCCTCTCCCCGTTTTCTCCTGCCTCCAGCTGAAGTCTTTTCACAACGAGCTGCTCACACAGCTGGAGCAGAAGGTGGAGCTGGACTCCCGGTACCTGAGTGTGAGTACCTTGCCACGCTTGTCGGAGGCCTGGCTGGCCTCCATCTGTCGACCTTCTGTCCCTAAATCCTTCCCTGGGCGGAAGGTGTCCTCACTTCTTGAGCTTCTACCCTGGTGGGTCTCCAGGCCCGCGACACCCTCGCCTGTTTGGCACTGAGGCCTAGGTGCCTGAATACCGTCCTGTGGGTGAAACGCCCACCTGACATCCTGGCCCGGGGAAGCGCGCACCTCTGGCTGCCGTCAGTAAAGCTGGGCGGGGGGGGGGGGTGATTTTGCCGCCCCTTCAAACCCGCATGCGCCTCTTCTGTGACCTGCTCTGACCCATCTTGGTTCCTCCGACCCCACGTCTGCTCACAAACCAGGTGTCAGAAGGGCGTGAGCCCCCCGCGATGCTGGCTGCTCATTTTAAATAAGAGGCTGTTCAGCTCTTGGCCGCGGGCGCGAGGGGGTGAGGCTTGGGGGTTTTCCGGGGCCTGACTTTCGTCTTTGGGAGCAGAGGCTGCCGTTGGGTGTGAAGGGTTGGGTCCTCCCTGTCCTGAAGGTGTCCTGCCAACGGGGCTTGGGGCCCATCACGGAGCGTGGAGGGGGCTGGAAGGAGGGCTCATGGGGGGCTGAGTCCCGGCCTGGCCGCACGGAATTCACAGGTCTGCTCGGCTTTCTCGTTTGAACTCCAGGCTGCACTGAAGAAGTACCAGACCGAGCAGAGGAGCAAGGGTGATGCGCTCGACAAGTGTCAGGGTGAGCTGAAGAAGCTCCGCAAGAAGAGCCAGGGAAGCAAAAACCCGCAGAAGTACTCGGACAAGGAGCTGCAGGTGGGCGCAGCTTCTGGGCCTGGGACTCTGCACCCCGCTGCTAGCAAGCAGGTGAAGGGAGACAGTCCCCTTCATCCCCAGCGGCTCAGCCCCATCGCAGCCCCGAGGGCTGAGACTGACTGCTCTCGACACGACCGGGCAAGGGCAGAGCTGCCGAGCTGGCAAGGTACCCCCGCCCTGCTCCCGGCCACCTCCTTGCTAGAATGTGCCAGAAGGCTCACCACCCAAGTGACCCCTCCCACCCTGTGTCCCTCTGGATTCCCAGACTGTTACGGTAATCAACTGGCAATGCCCACCCTGGGCCTATGGGGGGAAGCGGGGGCACTGGGCTTCATGGGCAGATGGCCTCGAGGCCGTGAGAGAGGGACACCATAGTGTCGGTCCTCCTCCATCACGCCCGGCCTCCCGGGCACCCTGAGCTGAGTGGCCTCGACACAGGCACACACCAGAGCTCCCGGCCAGTCACCTGACACCCGGCCCAGAGGCCCCACCGCACTTGCCCTCTAAGCAGATCACCCAGCGGTCAGTAAAGCACACGGTGCCAGGTGGGGAGCTGCCGGCAAGGACCTGGGCGGGCCGGGTGGGGCCGTCGGAGTTAAGCCGTTGCCTCCCGTGGTTCCACCTCTCCTGAGAGCCGGGCGGCTGGCAAGCACTGGTCGGCCCTGCACGCACCTGCCTGTTCCGTGCTGCTGCCCGTGTGCGCGCCTGTGCGGGCATGTGCCTGTGCGGCACAGGAGTGTGCAAGCACGTGTGTAAGTGCGTGTGTGCCCATGTGTGAGCGTATGTGCACACGTGTGAGTGTGCGTGTACGTGGGCATGCGTGTCCCCGCGGGGCCGGGACACTAACACCCACATGTGCCTCTGACCGTGGGACAGAGGGAGGTCTCTGCCTCTGAGAAGTGGAGCCCATGGCCTATGTACCCCATGAGCCTGGGGAGGCCCAGCAAGGTCACCTGAGGGTGTAGATGCCCAGGTGATACTGGGGGTGTCATCTGGTGAAGGGACCTCAGGGCAGCCCCGATGGAGAAGCTGAGGCTGGAGACCCCTCTGGGCCATGGCAGACGAGACTGGTTCTCAGGGTCTCCTGTGTCAGAGAGGACAGAGTGGGGGAGGCGGGGGAGTTGCGTGGCCCCCGACCCCGGCTCACGCACGCGTTGTTTATATGGCGTTGCAGTAACGCCATTGCGCTTCTGCAGAGTGCCTCCCCTAGCAGGCACGCCGTCCCGAGCCCGTAGTCTGCCCGCGTCCCTAGCCATTGGGTGTTTCGCTTAGGGCTGTTACAGAGACTGCTGTGACGAGCCACTGCTGGATTGTTTCTGCGAATAAATGCCTAGGAGAGGGGTTGTGAGATGAAGAGCGGAAACGTGTATATTCTTTTTGTCTGACCCTTGATGTGTGCTGCCATTTTGTTTCTGAAAGCTTGCCCAGGAGTGGCGCCCCCTGCTGCCCGGGAGGGTGATGGCAGCCTAGGGCAGGGCCTTGGAGTGATTGTTGGGCAGGTGGGTGGAGCCGTCTTCAAGGGCACTGCCGGGGGCAGTGATCCGGGACCCCACAGGGCTGACGTCCCAGTGGCCCCGAGGCCAGCTTGCCCCGTGGGTTTAGCTGCCTGCCAGGAGGGGCCAGGAGCCTGTCTGCCCCCTTTGTTGAGGCTCTGCCTTTAAAAAAACAGCTTTACTGAGATATAACTCAATACCCACACAGAGGTCCCTTGAATGAAAGTCCTGGTGATCTACTTCCGAAAAATCAGCCATTGAAAACCCTACTGAGCACAGTTCTGCTCTGATACACGTGGGGTTGCCATGAATCAGAGTCCGCGGCAACCAGCAACAACAGTCTGTCCTTGCCAAGGGCCTCCTGGGGAGTCCCAGGATGGCCGAGGGAGGGAGGGGGTCCAGGCCATGTGCTGTAAGTTCCGGACATGGCAGGGACCCTGCGGGACCCCCTGTGGCCCCGTCTGTCCTTCCTCACCTCCCCCAGCTCCCCAGTGGATGTGGTGGTCACCAACTAGAGACTGCCAGGGGCTCGGGGTGGAGGTGAGTGAGGGTTCTGGTTCTGGCTGGAAAGCAGGGGACTCCTGCCTCAGCGCCTGCAGGCTGTGGTCCAGGCACCCGCGGGCTGTGGTCCAGGAACCCGAGGGCTGTGGTCCAGGCACCCACGGGCTGTGGTTCAGGCACCCACCGGCTGCGGTCCAGGCAAGGTGGCCCCTTCATCGGGTCTGTCTGTTGGGGACGGCTCCCCATGAGCGGACCTGGCCAAGCACCTGCCCTTTCCAAGGACACCTCGCCCTTGAGCCGCTGCTCTAGGGTCTCTGCCCCAAGGAGTGGTTTTGACTGTAGGTCAGGGAACAGGCATGGAGAGCTTTGGGCCAGAACTAGGACAAGGAGGCCTTACATAAACGTGGGATGAGCTGTGTGCCGCCTGACTGGCACCAGGGTCACGGGTCCGTGGGGTCCCCTCGTCCCCCAACATCTGTTCTTCCAGAACTGTCCAGGCTGACAGATGCAAGTGTGCATGCTGGTGGGTGGGACACTCTCCTGGGGGTTCTAGTGGGTGTGCCCACAGGCCTCTCCAGCTGGAACAGGCTCAGAGCAGGGCCTAAGGGGGGTGGAAAAGGTGCTATGCACCTGTGGTGTACCCCGAATCCTGAGGTCCATCTGTTCCCCTGGGCTGTTGGCATGAGGAGCCAGGTGTGGAGGAAACGGGGGCCCTGCACACTGGTGTCAAGTACAGCCTGGTGTAGGAAAATGGGGGTACTAGGGCGTCCTTAGTGCCCACGGGGCCCATGGGATGGACGTCAACTTGGGGTGGGGTAGCAGATGGGGCACCCAAGTCTCTGGTACCCGGCACGTGACGTGGGCAGCCCCCCAATTCTGACTCTTTGGGGTGAGGGGTCCTGGCCTTCCCTCTGTGCTGGGCCGCTCGGTGAGCAGCCCTGTACCTGCCCGGCCCTGGCCTGCATCCTCGGCGTCACGCGGGGCTTCCCAGCACTCCGGCCCCCAGGCAGAGCGCTCCCGCCGTCCCCCCCACCCTGCCGTTTCTTCTACTCCAGATCCCCCTCACCTGGGCAGGCTGTGTCCCCTCCACAGGGATGGTGATGCCATTGATCAACTACGGTCTGGCCGTGAGCGTCTGCAAAGCTTCCAGGCGACTGTAACGGGCAGCCAGTCCCGAGGTGCCGGCCAGGGCCTGTGGCTGGGGTGGTGCCAGGCCCGAGAGCGGCTGCTCTGGGCGGAAGTGCTTCTGGCTGAGCCCTCGGAGCCCTCCTCCCCATCATCACGTTACCAGCGCGCAGACCTCTTTTCAGAGGCGTGGTGCTGGTCAGAGCCACGGTCCAGCGTTGCAGCCTGGCCTCCTCTTTGTCGGTCATGTGGGACCTGGGCGGGGGTTCCTCCTGTTTTGTTTCTGTCTCCTGACCCCAACCCAGCCCAGCTCTCACTAGTTGCACACAGTGGGGGCCCCTCGCCAAGCGTTCCTTCTCTTCTTGCTGTGGAACCCGGCCAGCAGGGGGTGCTGCACCTCCGAGGGCCGCGGTGGACACCGTGTGTGGGGCCCGCCAGGGCTCTGGAGTCTCCAGACTCCGGTTTGGATTCAGCCCTGTCCTCCTTGCCCTCAGGGGCCTTCCTGGGCCTTCCCATCCTGGGAGGTGGCCAAGCAGAGCCAGCCAGGGCCTGTCCCAGCTGCCCCTCCCTACCGCTCCGGGGGCTACGGCTGCCCCAGGACCTGACACTGCTGATCTGCACTGGGTCTCGCATGGAAGGCAGGCAGAGAGCCCCCTTCCCGGCTCAGCTCGTGGTAGCAGGGATATGGGGGCCCCCGAGGAGAGGGGTTTGTGCGCTGTCTCACCTTTATCTGTTCCCTCTCTGAGCCGTGTGATGGGGTGAAGAAGCCAGCACAGCCCTGGGGCCCGGGGGGAAGAGGAGAGTCGGGCTTTCCTGGGGGAAAGGCACTCCAGTGACCACTCAGGCCCCCGTTTAATCCTGGGGGCATCCTTGTCACAGTGTTCGTGATGACACAGAGAGGTGGTGAGGCTGTTGTGGGGGTTCCTGGTCCTTGGACGGTTCACGTCTTCCAGAAGGCAAGTGTGTCCCGATCTAGGTCTGAGAAAGGGGAGAGGTTGGTTCTATTTAAAGGGCTGTATAATTAAGCAAAGCTAAGCCAAATAACCATAATTTAGATCTTCAGAAAAGATAATAGCAGAGGCTGGCCCCGCTTCGTGCGAGCCTGACACCGCGCAGGGGGGCTGAGCCACCACACGCCGCGGTTCTAATTTTAAATGACTCTTCACGGCAGAGATGGTTCACATGCAAGTGGGAGCTCTCTCTTCTCTGGAGTCAAATCCAGTCAGAGGCTCTCTGGGAAAACCCAGATGAGTGTGGGAAACGGGAGGTCACAAGCCCTTGTCCGGCAACAGGTCAAGAGACCTAGTCCCCTGAAGCCAGACAAGGAGGCGGTCAGCTTCTCCACCAGGGTGTCCCTAACACGAGGATTGCGTGTGTAATGCAGCGGCAGCTCTCCCTGTGCTGGCCCCTGGGTGAGACGCAGAGTCCCTGGGCAGTGCTAACCAAAAGGTTGGAGGTTCGAGTCCACCCAGAGGCACCTCAAAGAAAGGCCTGGTGATCTACTTCTGAAAACTCAGCCATTGAAAACCCTTTGGAGCACAGTTCTACTCTGACACATGCGGTCACCGTGCGGCTCAGTTGACGCAACAGCCACTGGTTTGGGGGCAAGATGCCCAGCTCGTCCCCTGCCCGGTGCCAGCTCCAGCTCCGAGCTCCTGTGTGGGGGGCAAAGCTGAGGTTCCTCCAGTCCCCCGAATTGCCTGCCATGGCCCCACCATGCCCCACACCCGGCTGGCCTTGCTGTGGGCCCCGGTCGGCAGGCAGCCCGGCTGGTTTGGAAGGCAGAGGCCAGCAAGTGCGGTGACTCTGTGGACATGGGAATGAAGGCTGTCCCATCCCCTCCTGGCATCATAGGGCCCCTTCACCTCCTTGGAGCAGTCGTCACCGGTCGTGACGACTGAAGGCTGGGACATGTGCTCATTCGTAAACTGCACGGCCCGGGAGAGGCGGGAATCCAGCGGACCTGGTAGACCAGGAGGCTCTGGTTGCTTCTGGCGTGCCCCTCCCCCACTCTGAGTCACCCGCCTGCTTTGGAGCAAAGAGAAGACCTACCTTCTGATCACTTTTGTCTCGGATTACAGGGTGGCGCAGCCGGGGTGACTAAGTGGGAGCAGTTTGTGGGCCGAAAGTCCTTTCTCTGGGGTGTTTCTATAGTGGCCGCGTCGCCATGGCACCCAGCTCCAGGGAGAAGCAGGGTGCGGCAGTTTGAGGGGGCGGGGAGACTGGGCGGGACAGGCGGCGCTTGCTCCTGTTCTCTCGGCTTTCCGGAAGCCCCAGCACCCTTCTGTGTTGGGGCTCCCCCGTGCCCACAAAGCAGCCCTGCGAGTGGGGTCCTCCTTGCCCTCCCGGTGGGTGAAGCCCCCTTTTGTCCTCCATTTCCAGGATCTGCCCAGTTAGGCTGTGGCTGTTCTATGGCAGGAGCCAGGCGCTCTGGAAAAGGAGGTCAGGAAGTTGCTTTGGCTCCTGGAGGGAAGTGACAGTGTGTGCCCCCCCTCTGCCTGCATGGCCCGAGCGCGTGGGGGGCAGCCGGGCAGCTCTGACCACGGTGGACGATGCAGCTCCTTGGGTGCCCACTGGCAGCGGGGCGAAACTGCTCCACGCAGGAGCTGTCCTTGCGGACAGCCCTGGAGATGTTCTTTCAACCTCTGCCGCCGGGGTGACCAGTGGGGAGGTGCCTGGGGGCCCCACTGCTTGTGGCTCCCCCTCCTCTCTGTAGCCTGCGTCCACTCACAGCCGCGCAGGGCTCATCTGAATAAACGGAGGTTTTAAAAATAAAACACCGCCCTGCTCTCGGGGACCCGGCTAATGAGGCCGGTGCCTGCACTCAGGCCGCGTCTGCGGTGGTGTTCTCCCCTCCAGGGACGGTACCGCAGCCTAGAAACCCAGAAACGTCTGACGGGGCCGGCAGGCCGCCGTTTGGAAAGGGTGTTCTGGGCGCAAGCAGACCCAGGGGGCCTCGCGACCCGGTTTCGCTGCGGCCCTGGGGGCCTGGCTTTCTCCACAGTCCTGGGTCAGGTGGCACTTGAGTGTGGCTGAGGCCCTGGGCACCTCCTTGGGCATGGCCTGTGGCCCTCCACCACTACCCTCCCACCAGCCTGGGAGCTGGGTCCGTGGGCTCCACCGTCCTGCACACTCCCAGGCTCGGTGCCGCAGGGGGAGGTGGGGAAGCTGGGCCGTCCCCAGGGCAGGACAGCGTGTCAGCATGAGACCACGGGTTTTGGGCTTTTCCCGGGGGTTATGTCCAGTCCCCTTCTGAGGAAGCGGGGGACACTGCCCCGACGCTGTCCTATTTGGGGGCCCTGGTGCCAAGCCCCCCGTGTTTCTGTGTGTGGGGACCAGCAGAGGGTGAAGCTACAAGGTTCTGCCGATGTCCCTACCAGTTTTTTCCTGGGTGGTAAGTCACCCAGATCAAGAGGCCTCAGGGGTCAGCCCAGCACTGGGCATTGCTTGGGAGGGGGCTCATCTCTTGCCCCTCTTCCCGCCCTGCCTGGCCCTTGAGGCATGCCCTGCCCTTCCTGTCACACAACAGGGAGCCGGCCCCACTGGGGCAGGAGCAGCAGACCTCGATCTTGCTCTGACTGGATGTCCTGGCCCAGGGCTCCTGGGGGACAGCCCATCCGGGGCGGCTGGTGTCCGTAGTCCCCGCAGTTCCCAAGGCTGGCGCCCACCTTCATCCCTGTGATGTGGCCCTTCTGACCCAGGAAATACTCTGACTGGTCCCCCGTCTCCCCCCAGGGTGGAGGTACAGGGTTCTGAGCAGAGTAGGCCACAGAGGGGCGCGTTGTTGCTTAACGAGAAGTGCCCCAGTGGCTGGGGAGAAGGCGAGAGCGGGGCGACCATGGGGTCCCTCAATCCACTCGGGCTCATCTCCATGTTCAGACTGTTCCCCAGGGCCTGTGCTGGCCCAGGCCACCCCCAGTGCCATCGGGGCCCCTGCAGGCAGATGGCCGGGCCCTGAGGCCTTACCCCCAAGGCTGCAGCCTTGGTGGGGATGGGAGGGGCTGTCTGGGTGACTGTCTTGAAACCATTGAAGTTGCCCCCACCATGGGGAACAGGATGGAACCCCCCATGGGGAGGCGGGGGTTCTGTGAGGGTAGAAGCAACGGGGCGCTGGGGTCTGGTGACAGTGGGGTACAGTGTGGCTACTGAGAATGGCTGGCCTGCGGAGCTGGGCCCTGCTGATGGTGCTGGGTCCCCATCCCAACCGGTCCCCCAGCTCTCCGAGGGGCCCCCAGCTCTCTGAAGGGCCAGGTGGGCGCTGCGCTGGAGGCAGCGAGGGAACAGTCAGCTCTGATGCTTGGTCACCGCCCCCGGGAGCAGCCCGCCCACCCACGCTGAGTCAGCCTCGGAGAAGGCTTCAGTCAGGGAGACCGCGCCTGCCCCCTGCTGGGGGATGGCTGCACCAAGAGGTGCCGGGTCTGCAGGGCTGCTCTGCCGGGTCCGTGAAGCCTGAGGTCCGCACCAAGGACGGATAGTCAGCTCCAGCGAGGACCGACGGGCTCAGACTGGGCGGGGTGGGCGCAGGGGGAGAGCCAAGCCCAGAAGGTGGGGATCTAGAAAGATCTTCCTGTCAGTCTAGAGACTGCTCCCTGCAGAAGCCGCCCATGTGTCTGGGTTCTGCAGCCCCAGGAGCCCCCGCGTCACCCAGACAGACATACAGAGGAGGGGTCTGGGCATCTGCCCCCACATCTGCCCAGGCCCCTGCCCCCAGCATCTCGTCAGCCTCTGTGATGGGAACTTTTCAGCCTCCAGAATCAGAGAATAACCCGCCACCTACGCAGAGGGTGGCCCCCACTCTGGTCCCCGGGCCCTGGCCCCTCCCGAGCCCCGTGGTGTGGGTCCACACTTCTGAGAGCCATGGCTCCCTGTAGCTTCTCTTCCCGTTTGTTGGAGTCGGGGCCCAAGCCCGGTGCCGGGGCAGCTCACGCCCAGTGCTGCTCCATCACAGCGGCCACCAAGCCACAGTGGCCTCATCAGCCAGCACTTCTCCCTAGCCTGCAGGCTGCCCGTGACGGCCGCACACCATGGCTACACGCTGCACACTCATTCTGGCACCTGGGCAGAGGGGGCCGTGGGACACAGGCGTCCCTTGAGGCTTGCAGCCAGCACGCTGTCACTTCCGCCCGCACCCTATTGGCCAAAGCGCACGAGTCCCACGGCCAAGCCCACCACCAGTGGGACCAGAAAGTGTGCTGCCCGGGCCTTGCAGTCACATGGTGCAGAACCGGCAGAACCAGTGGCCCACCTGCCCGGGCGGCGCTGACATCTCCACAGCTCTGTGACCCCGACCCCTTCTCATCTTCCTCCCGCAGCCTGCTCACTGGGGCACTCGTCCTGGGGGGCCCGTCGGGCGCTCGTGGGCTGTGGGTTTGCTGGTGGTATCCTTGTGCATTTCTAACAGAGCCCTTGGTCCCGGGATTTTCGGGAATTGGTAGTTGGGCCTAGGGGCTTGGTCAGCTGAGGGTCGGAAACCCAGGATGGCAGTGACGTGACAGCCCGCAGTCCTTGGTGTTGCTGGGTTTAGAGATGTGCCTCTCGGTTGCCCCCTGGCATCTGTCTTCCCCGTGTCTGTGTGTTCTGGTCCTTTCCCAAGACACCTCTCAGGAGGGATTAGGGTTAGGACCCACCGTACTCCGGATGACTTCATTAACTTAACCAAAGGAAACCCTGTTGCCAAATAGGGTCATGTTTACAGGGGTTGGGACTTCCACATCACTTTTTGGGAGACACAGTTCTATCCATAACAGGATTAAGTGCACTGTGGGGCTGCCTGGAACTGGATGCAAACCCATGTTCTGCCTCTGGCTTATCACCCCCTCTCTCCCCCGCCCACTCCCCCCCGCCAGTACATTGACGCCATCAGCAACAAGCAGGGGGAGCTGGAGAACTACGTGTCCGACGGCTACAAGACAGCCCTGACCGAGGAGCGGCGGCGGTTCTGCTTCCTGGTGGAGAAGCAGTGCGCCGTGGCCAAGAACTCTGCCGCCTACCACTCCAAGGTGAGCGGAGCCGCACAAGCAAGCTGGGCCCGGGAACACAGCTGGGGGTGCACCGTGGACTCAGCTGAATGCCTCCATACAGGAACCTTGGCCGGCATTTCGGGTTTCCTCGGGGATAGACTCCTAGATGGAGAATTTCTAGGTCAAAGGGCATCGACACATTTAAGACTCTTCATGACAAAGTGCCAGATGCCTTTGAGGAGGGTGGTACCGACATCCCACCGCGAGTGTCCAGGGGGCGGGTTTTGGGCCCCTCCAGCCTGGTCCTGGTGAGGGCCAGGCCGATGGCAGGCCGGGGAGGTGGCCACAAGCTGGACGCATTTCAAGCTGCAACACGGCAGCGCTGCTTGATGGGGTGCAGGGTCCCACCTGGCCTCCTGCCGACGTTACCCTCCCTGGGGCTCCCCAGTTCTTTCCTCCTCAGTCTGAAGTCCTGCGGGGTGGCTGCCGGATCCTGGCTCTGCTGCCTGCTGTGCAGAGGGCCCCTAGCCCACACCTAGTCATCCCAAGACAGGGAAGACGCCGCTGCCCCCAAGTCCCCGAGCCCTAGGAGGGAGTGTCCCCGACTAGTCTTGGCCTGACCCTGGGCCCTGGGCGGCCACCAGGCCTTGCCCGCCACCAGCTTCCCTGTCTTCAAGGCCCCAACCCCTCCCCCTGCTCCCCATCTCTGGGTGGTCACCCCAGCCCCTGCCCCCTGCTCCCCACCTCTAGGTGGTCACCCCAGCCCCTTCCCCTGCTCCCCACCTCTGGGTGGTCACCCAGCCCCTCCCCACCTGGCTCCAGAGACCAGTCACATCATTGTCCGGAATCTCTCCCCAGCCCTGCGTGACTGGGGCCTCCCTGTCACGCTCCCCCACCTGCTGTCTGCACCCCTGAGCTGCTTCAGGTCCTGAGGTGGGCTCTAGGGGCTCGATGGTACCACCAGCGCCCTCTGCCTGGCTCAGCCCTGCTCCCTGCCTGGCCCCTGGCAGCCTTCCTGCCCCTGGCACTGAGGCCGTGCCCCAGGACACAGCCTGCCATCATGGCTCCTGGAACCGTGTGTTTCCCTCTGGATCCCCCAGTCTGAGAGCTCCTGCGACACAGAACCCAGGCTGGCCAGGAGGCTTCTTGGGAGGAGCTGGGGTATAAAGGCCCAGGCCCTGGTCAGCAGCAGAGGCCTCCCGGGAGGGTACCCCTTGTAGAGGGCTGCCTCTCTGTGGGCGGTGGGGGGGAGTCATCCAACAGAGCCCCCAGGGGCAGCGAGAGCAGAGGACACAGACTTCTTGTAACAGTGGGTCCTGCCGGCCACTGGGCAGAACAGGTTCAGTCCCTGTAAAATTCCAGGAGCGTGGCAGGTGTGAGGCAGCCAGACTGGCCAGGGAGGGCCCTAGTCCACATCCTTGTTAACTTAAAGGGTTCTACCGGTCATCAGGGAACACACCAACACTTGTCCTCCCTGCGTGCACACACACACATGCATGAACACGTGTAGACATACATGTACACTGGTGTACACACAGGTGCACATATGCAGACGCACACACTTGCAGACATACACAAGTGCGCATGCGTATGGGTGCAGATGCACACATGCACACATTGACATGTGTGCCTATGCAGACGTGAACACAGGTGCAGGCACACATGTGCAGGCACACATGTGTGCACATGTATTGACACAAGTGCAGGCACATGCACACGGGTGCAGACGCATGCGGGCACACACATACACTGGAGCCCCTGCTCTGCCGCCGCAGCCCTGGGGGTACTGTCCTGCTCTTGGGGCCCCACCAGCGCATAGCATGTGTGTGAGGGCGTGTGTCCCCTTCAGGGTGGGCCACACCTTGAGCTGGGTCCTGTCCCGCGGTGCTTGGCAGCCGCGTGCTGGGAGAGTTGGCTGTAGGCGTCCCGGCATCAGGGTGGGGCAGGTGTGGGAACACGGCCGGCCTCCCGCTGCACCTGCAGCCCACATCTTTGCTGCAAGATGTGGTGTTCGCAGCAGGGAGCGAGCGAGCGGGGGTGTGGCCTGCAGACTCTGGAAGGCTCCACGAGGTGGTGGCACCCTCTAGTGGTGGATGGGCCCCATGGCAGTGGCCGCAGCTGCAGAGCCCGAGTGAAATGCAGAAAAGCTCCCGCTCGCCCGCTGTGGGAAGCCGGGGAGGGGCAGATTGTGGGGCTGGACTAGATGAGAGCACCCAGCCCTCCTGCCAGCCACACCAGAGCAGGCTCACACAGGAACCTACCTGGACAAGCCCCTGTGCTGGGGACCCGAGGGGGGCAGGACTCTCCTAGCACTTCAACCAGCAGCTCGGCCCCCCAGCAGGGCCCAGGACTTGGATCCGGGCCCACGCTGAGGCACCCTGCAGGGTGTCAAGGGTGAGGCCGGGATGGCTCTGGACCACTTCTGGCCCCTTGTGTCCCGAGCGGGCAGGAGGTGGTTCTGCTCCGACATCCTCCCTCCCCTGAGTCCCAGGCCCTCATCCTCTGTCAGCCTGCTCATCTGGGTCCCGGGGCCAGGCCGTCATGCAGACCCGAGGGGAAGGGGCTGGCCCGCTAGTGCTGTGGAGCCCTGTGGTTCTCAGGGCCCTGGGAGCAGGTAGCAGTTATCAGAGTGCCTGAGCAATGCCAGACGGGTTCCGCCTCCCTGCACCCCTGGCAGCTGGCCCGACCGAGGTGAGGCCTGCTCGCCGCTCTCTCCCTTCCCCACAGGCCGCCTCTCTCTCCTGCCATGGCCCCCCCGCCCCGACGGCACTGCTTGTAGCAGCTCCCAGGCCCTTTCCTGGCTGTGGGAGGGGGGCTAGCCACCCTTAGTGGGTTGGGACTTGGGCTCACAGGTGGCCCGCCTCACCCAATGGCACCCACCTGGTAAAAACCAGCCCTGGCCCCAGCCAGGCGCTCTCTCAGCATCCCACCGTCGGGGGGGGGTCTGGCTTTTCAGGGGCCACCCTGTGCCACGCGGGGGCTGGCCATCTGCGTCCAAGGGGAGAGTGCTCAGCGGGGCGGCAGCAGGCCCCTCGCCCCTCCAGTCCCCCAGGCTGGCTGGGGCCATTCCTTGGGAGCATGGTGGCACTGGGGCCGAGGAGCCACAGCTGTGCCCTGACCCCCATCTGCCTCTTCCTCCCCCGTAGGGCAAGGAGCTGCTGGCTCAGAAGCTGCCGCTGTGGCAACAGGCCTGCGCGGACCCCAACAAGATCCCAGACCGCGCCGTCCAGCTGATGCAGCAGATGACCAGCAGCAACGGCGCCGTCCTGCCCGGCGCTCTGTCGGCCTCCAAGTCCAACCTGGTCATCTCAGACCCCATCCCAGGGGCCAAGCCCCTGCCCGTGCCCCCAGAGCTGGCCCCTTTTGTGGGGGTGAGTACTCAACCTCGGAGAGCCTCGGGGGTGGAGGCTCCAAGGGGGCCGAGCCAGGTGCCCCCACTGCTGAGGGCTGAAGGGCTGGCCCAGGGTAGGTCCCCAGCAACCCCACCTGCCTTCTCCTCCGCAGCGGATGTCGGCCCAGGATGGTGCACCCGTCATGAACGGCATCTCAGCCCCAGACAGCGAGGACTACAACCCCTGGTCTGACCGCAAGGCTGCCCAGCCCAAGTCCCTGTCTCCTCCGCAGTCTCAGAGCAAGCTGAGCGACTCGTACTCCAATACCCTGCCTGTGCGCAAGAGCGTGGCCCCGAAAAACAGCTATGCCACCAGTAAGGGCTCTGGAGGCACCCCACAGCGTGCCTGGACTTCTGAGGGGAGGCCTGGGAGACCTGAGGCTCACGAGTGTGCGTGTGTTGGGATGTGTGGATGACTGCATGTGTGGAAGTGCACATGCATGGATGCATGTACGTGTGTGCATGTGTGCAAGCATGTGTGTGCATGTGTGCCTGTTGGTGTATGTGGGGGTGATTGTGTGTGCATGTGCTTATGCGTGGGTGCATGTATTTGTGTGCTGTGTGTGCTTGGGCGAGCATGTGCACGCCCTTGCCTGTGCTGGTGTGTGTACATGTATGATAATTGTGTGCCTGTATGTGTGCTGGTGTGTGTGCAGATGTGTGTGGGTACATGCGTGTGTGCATGCCTGTGCACACATGTATGTGTGTGTGTGTATGCACGCATGCACCGCTCCGTGGGCCCACTGGAGGTGTGCATGCTGTACCCACAGGCGCTCTCTGGCTCTGTCCTTCCCGTAAGCCCCTGGGGCGCGGTGGAAGCTGTGAGCGTGAAGCCACTGCAGTGAGGCCGGGTGCTGGCGGTGGCCACTGAGTCAGTGCTGGGAGTAGATGGTGGTGTCAGGAGGGATGTGCCAGGGCCCGTCCAGGGCCTGGTCGGGGGAGGGACAGAGCAGCCACCTCCAGGCCCCCTGGGGCACGCTCTGGGCACACTCCTGCCTCCCACGCAGAGAACCCCCCCAAGCTCATTTGTAGCAGGTCTGGGCTGGACTCACGTCACCAGAGCCAGATTTCTCGAGAATCTGATTCCCAGGCCGTGCAAAGGCCGGGTGCAGGGGGCCTGCTCGTCCCAGGCCCAAGCCCTCAGCTGCGCACCAGCCTGCCAGCGCGCCCAGCATTTCCATCCTCCTAGTGGGCTACTTGGCCGCAGTGCTAACATGGTGGCTATGCCCCTGTTCCCCGCCCTGGGCTGTCGCCTGTGCCTCCTGGGGGCCAAGTCCTTGATCACCTGCCCTGTCATCCTGGCAGCTGAGAACAAGACCCTGCCCCGCTCGAGCTCCATGGCAGCTGGCCTGGAGCGCAACGGACGCATGCGTGTGAAGGCCATCTTCTCCCACGCTGCCGGGGACAACAGCACCCTGCTCAGCTTCAAGGAGGGCGACCTCATCACCCTGCTGGTGCCTGAGGCCCGCGACGGCTGGCACTATGGCGAGAGCGAGAAGACCAAGATGTGAGTGCGCGTGGGGCGCGGCAGGGTGGGGGCGAGAGTCGAGAGCGGGCGCGTGGGGCGCAGTCTCCGTAGGCGGCCTCCTCCATCTGTGGCCCTCAGATATCCAGGCTGCTTTGGGCTCTTTTTCTGGATGAATTATGCAGGAATGGCCAGTCCTCATTGGACGATCCCATATACACGAGCTCACTCATTTGCTCAAAATACTCAGAGCACTTTGCAGTCACTTGCAGAGTGGCAAAAATCCCCCGCCGAGGTCGAGTGGGGGTGGTTCGGTGGTCTCAGATTCCGTGTTCCCGGGGACTTTATAGATGATCCCAGCCAGGTGCCGTCAAGTCGACTCTGACTGATAGTGACCTCATGGGTGTCAGAGTAGAACTGTGCTCCACAGGGTTTTCAATGGATGATTTTTGGAAGTAGATCACCCGGCCCTTCTTCTAAGGCACCTCTTGGTGGATTCGAACCTCCAGCCTTTTGGTTAGCAACCGAGCACATTAACCATTTGCACCACCAGGGACTCCTTACAGAAGATCGCTACAGCGACTATCAACAATTAGCTGTGAGGTGTTCTCGCGTTAGCCGACTGAGCAGTACAGACGCACGTTACAGACACAGGGTTCTCACAAGCACGTGGACCTCCACGTCACTCCGTCATCGTCCACGTCACTCAGGCACAGGGCACAGGTCCCCCTTGCACGTGCATCTTAACATACACAGCAGGTACTTGTAGGTGGGCATGTGGTTACCCGGGTGTCAGTGGTATAAACGCCAGCTGTTGACTTACGATCTCAGTTACCGCCACACGCCCACAGCCCCCAGGGCCCCTAGACGATGCTAGCTCCTGGAGCCCCCCGCCCATCACCTGCATCACCTCCTGCTCCACCTGAGGTCAGTGCTGTCACCAGTCCATTTCACAGATGGAACTACCGAGACCAGTGCCAGAGCCCATGCTCTGGGCTACCATGGTTAGGAGCCTGGGGTGAGCGTGGTCTGTGTCACCAGAGTTCTTTGTTGTCTCATTTAACCCTTTGTAAAGTGGGCGTGGAGACCCTGGTGGCATATGGTTCAGTGCTACAGCTGCTAACCAAAAGGTGAGCAGTTTGAATCCACCAGCCGCTCCTTGGAAGCTATGGGGCAGTTCTGCTCTGTCCTATAGAATTGCTATGAGTTGGAATCAACTCGACGGCAGCGGGTTTGGTTTTTGGTAAAGCGGGCGTTGGCCCATCTTGCTGGTAGAGAAGTCGAGGTGCAGGAGGCCGCCCGGGTGGTGAACGGCAGAGCTGGTACTCCCATCTGGTTTTTGCTCCAAAACCTTTCTTCTGCCCACGTGGCTCTCCTGAGTGTCGGATCAGCCTCGGGTTTGACTTCGAGAAGGAAGGTGCTCTATAGCATCAGAAGGCCGCACCTTCACGGCTTAATGCAAACCTGTTGCCAGAGTTGTCGCAACAGCAGTTGCTCGGCGTGGGTGCTGGGGGCCGGGGCCACCCACAGCACCCACTCCCTGGCTGCCTTCCCATGCCACTGTTTTTGCTCCTCTTGCAGCAAAACCGCCTTAACATTTTTGCCTGTCTTGTCCAGCAAGAGGACAGGGGCCGAACTTTGCTGCTGGGCAGGGTGCCACTGAGCTGGGGGACCCCGCAGGGCAGGGATGCCCGTGGTGCACCCTGTTCCTGGATGCTGCCCTTGCCGCTCTTCCGAGACAGGGCCTGGGGTTGTGGGGCCAAAGGCCAGAGTGGCCTGCGGGTCTGTGTGGTGAGGGGCCAGCCTTGTGCAAGAAGCAGACCCCCAGCACAGCACCAGGGTCCCTCTCCCAGCCCCAGGCCTGGCTCTGCCAGCCTCACGAGAAGGCAGGTCTCTCCAGTCACTGCTGGAGTCCTCCAGGGCAGAGAAGGCCAGAGCCACCTCTCCCTCCCTTGGGCCGGAGGTGCAGGCAGGGTATGGGTGGGGTCCCCTGGCCTCCATGATGCATCTCTCCTCCACACACAGAGGGCGCAGCTCGGGGGGAGCTGGTGGACTTGGAGCCGAATGGCAGGTGTCCCCACCTTGGAGCCCAGGGCCCCCAGTGAGGGCTGGGGAGAGGCCTCTGGAGCTGAGCTGGGCCCCTCTTACCTGAGGGGGGCTTCTCTTCCAGGCGGGGCTGGTTCCCCTTCTCCTACACCCGAGTCCTGGACAGCGATGTCAGCGACAGGTTGCATATGAGGTGAGCAGCGGCCCATCCCCAGTGGTGGCCCCGGCTGGTAGAGGGGCTGTGGTGGGGGCTTGGGCCCTGTGGATGGGCTGCCTCGGGGCACAGTGAGCCGGGGTGGGCTTCCACAGGGGCCAGTCAGATGGGATGGGTGTAGGGGCTGCGGCATCAGGAGGCGCCCCACGAGGAGGGGTCCAAGGGTCCCGGAGGGCTGGGACCAGCCGTGGAGCTGTGTGAGGTGGCCTCTTGCTGGCCTGTTTGGGGGTGGAGGACAGGCTGAGAGAGTGGGGAGCTCCCTGTAGAACTCAAAGCTTCACAGACAAGGCACTGAGGCTTAGCGTTTTCTGGAGGTTTCTACAGAAGCGCCTTCGTGCCCGGGTGGAGGGAGGCAGACCAGGTTTGGCTGGGTGGCAGGACTAGCCCCCGGAGGTCCACGTGACTGCACCCCCAGCAGCTGGGCACAGCCCCTTCCTGCACTCTGTGAAGGGCTGGGCACAGGGGGAGGCCTCAGGGAGGTCAGACTGGGCTGCTGGTGGTGGGGCCTTGCTGACCCCCGCTGACCCCAGCCTGCCCTCGGCCGCCACAGCCTCCAGCAGGGGAAGAGCAGCAGCACGGGCAACCTGCTGGACAAGGAGGACCTGGCCCTCCCGCCACCTGACTATGGCACGTCCTCCCGAGCCTTCCCGGCCCAGACAGCCGGCACCTTCAAGCAGAGGCCCTACAGCGTGGCTGTGCCCGCCTTCTCTCAGGTGGGCACCTCCCCCCAGGTGTCCACCATCTCCCAGCTGAGCCCCTTCCCTCCCCAGATGAGCCCTTCCCCAGGTGAGCACTTCTCTCAGGTGGGCACCTCCCCCAGGTGCTGCCCTCTCCCAGCAGCCCCACCTGTGGGCTTCTGCTGGGTGGGGTCCGGGTCTGTGGCTTTAGGGGCTGAGTGATGGTGCAGGTCTGGGAGGCTCACAGCCACCTCGGGGGCTCGCTGCCTGGTGCCACCGGGCCCTCTGTGGACCCCAGCTGTGGGTGTGCCGCAGCCTGCTCTCTGCCCACCTCGGGTGCTCGCTGCCTGGTGCCCCAGGGACTCTGTGGACCCCCCAGCTGTGGGTCTGCTGCAGCTTGCTCTATGCCCTCCCTGGGTGCCCATGTTGGGGTAGGCGCCACGGGCCTGAGCGTGGGGAGGATCAGGCTCCCCGAGAGTTGGGGGCTTCCTGCAGCCCCAGTGCTGCGTGGGCGCCTGCTGCTCACAGCCCTGCTCAGGCCCTGGGATGGGGCGGTCAGAAGGCCCCACCCACCAGAGCAGCCTCATGGGCCTCATGGGGTCGAGCCGTCCAGCACCAGCGGGGCTCCGAGGACCAGGCCCTGATCTGCTTCTGCTTTGTTCCCCAGGGCCTTGACGACTACGGTGCGCGGTCTGTGAGCAGGTAAGAGGTTTCTGGACTTGTCCTGGGCGCGTGGGTGGCCGCAGAGCGGCTCATCTGGGGCTAGGTGGGGCAGGCCCTCCCTGGGGACTGCCAGGCCGCTCTGTGGAGTCTACGCCTGGGCTGTCCGAGGCCAGTGGGGCTCAGGTGCAACTCCAGCTCAGCTGCTGTGTCTGCTCTCCCTCAGAGCTGGCTCCGCATGCCCTGGGCCTAAACTCCCTCAGCCCCTCTGAAGGTCAAGGGCAGGTGACCGACACCGAGGTGTGTCAGGGTCTGGCTGAGTGAAGAATGGTTGCCTTTCACTGGGACACCTGTGTGGGCTCATCTGGGTGGGCTCACCTGGGTGAGCACAGGCCACTCCTGCAGGGTGCCCAGCCTGGTCCCTGCCCCCTACCCGCCTCCCCTGGTCTCTGCTCTGTTCTCTCTTGTCCTCTGTGCCACCTCACCCGACCCAGCGGGACAAGATGGGGAGTGCCCCCTCCCAGGATGGGCCGTGTGCCCCTAGAGCCCCCCAAGGCCGGGCTGGGGGCTCCGCCTGGTCTCCCTGGGCTCGGCCCTGTGCTGGCTCCGGGCTTCTCCCTTCTCCGCCGAGGGCCGGGCGTCCTGTGGCCCTCAGAGCTGCTGACAGGGATGCTGCGGAGAGGCCAGGTGCCCGCCGCCCGGGGCTGGCAGCTCTCCTGTGCTTTGTCCACAGCGGCAGTGGTACGCTGGTGTCCACAGTGTGAGGACGCAGACCACGCGCAGCCACTGCTCTGGAGAGCTTGCCACCGCCTCCCCCTCCCGCTCCTCCTCCTCACGCTCTGCCCCCCACCCCCGGCCCCTGACCTGTGTGGCTGCCATCGGTCTCCTCCCCGCTCTCGTTGGTGTGTTCTGGGTTGTTCTCTCTCCCATCGCCCGCCCGCCCCTCAGTTGTGACCCGACTCTGTGATCCCAGGATCCATGGTGCTGCTCCACCCCCATGCTCCCCCCACAAGTGTGTCCGCAGCCCCCCCAGCAGACACCGCGATGGGCCCCCACCTGCCCGGCGCTCCGCAGTGTCCACAATGCACTCCCCCTTTTTTAAGGCTCGCTGCGAGCCAGGTTTAAAGTTTGAAGAAAACAAAAATCTTTAAAAAAAAAAAAAAAGATGAAAAACAGGAAAAGGACTTTTTTTTTCCTGAAAAACAAAACCGATGTGCATGGCCTCCGGTGTACGTACTGTTATCTTTGCGTCTGACCCTCCCGGCGCGGGCGGCTGGCGGGACAGGGCTGGAGCTCGGACTCCGGGGCCGCCCGCCCAGCCTGCCCGGGGCAGCACCGAGGGGCTGGCAGCACCAAGGGCTCACGCCGCCACCGGGGCCCCTGAGGAGCCACCGTGCCCAGTGAGGGAGCCCCCGCCCGGCAGGGCCCGGCGTCCTGCCGCCTCCCGAGGGCGCGGCCCGCAGGTGGACCTAGGCGCCCTCCCGCAGGGTCTCCCTACCTCACGCGGCGCACTGGCGCGAGGGGCGGGGGCTCGCAGCAGGCGCTGCCCGGCCGCACACGGACATTCCAAAGACCTCCCGAGACCCTCGCCTCCCCCACTTTTTGGAAATCATTTCTCTAACCAGCCTTGGCGCACGTCGCGGACACCCTGCCTTCCCGGGATGGGGCGTGCCCAGCAGGCAAGGCTGGCCTGGGAGGGTGGTGTGGGCATGGCCGCACCCCACCCGCCCCTGTGCCTCTGGCTGGGGGCGACCTGACAGGCGCTGCCCGGGTCCTTGCTAAGCGCTCTGGTCTTCTTTGTATGTCTCAGTGACTTTAGAAACACACGCACGGCGCTTGGTGGGTACAGATATTGTTTCTTCACCCACTGAATTCTGGGACGTGAGCGGGCCACTGCCCGGCTGAGCCCTTCCGGCCGGTGGGAGCTGGCAGGGACCCTGTGGCCCCCACTTTTCTGGCGAGATTTAACAATCCCGCCCACCCGCCCATCCGTGGACCTGGCTGCGGCCAGGAGCGTTTGTGAAAGAGAAGTAGAGCAAGACGCAGACAGATCCCGTTTTCAAGAGAAGTCAAAGCCGAACATGGACCTGTGTAGAAAGAACCGCGTTGGTGTTCTCATTTTGCTAAAAGATTTTAAATCCAGGGGATTCCACGATCAATGGATGAATGTAGACACAAAGCAGCAAAACTTGTATGAAGATGTAAAGTGCTGAAAATATTTTTCCTTTCTCCTTTTTTTTTTTTTTTAAAAATCTGAATTGTGCCCTGTACTGCAGTCACTTGTTTGAATAAAAGTTTTATTTATTGCATCGAGCTGGGTTTGGCGCCTCCTTCCAGTTCCCTGCTGTCAGGGCTGTATGGAGCCCCGGGGGCCTGGGTGGAGCGGTTTGTGGAATTACCTGGGCTTGCAGATGTGCCAGCCCCGTTGTGTGTGGCATGGTGGCTGTTTTTTCCACCCACTCTGTTTGGGCACCCCTGGTGGCCTTCTGCTTTCCCAGGGTGGTCCACCACCCTGGGGACAGAGTAAGCCCCTCGGAGCCTGGTCCAGGAGGGAGCTGGGACCCCCTGCTTGCTGGGGCATGTCCCTTAGTGCTGAGACCCCTGCAACGGGGCTGGACACTCCACTCTCTGCCCTGCGTCTGGTGCCACGAAACTGGGGTGCTAGGTTTCCCCCTGGCAGTAGGCACCGGCCCCCTGGCGCTCTCCCTTCTCATGCAAACTCCCAGACGCCCACCCATCCCCAGTGGCCCGCGGCTCCCTCCACACCCTCCAACGAGTCCTTGTGTTTCCTTGCAGTGCGGATGTGGAAGTGGCCAGATTCTGAGCGGCCTCACTAGTTAGTAAGTGGCTGTGGGTTTCCGGGCTGGTCACTCTGTACTCTCTCTGGCTCTGGCGCAGCCGAGGTGGCTGGGGGGCTGGGCAGGAGCCCGAGGGTCTGTCGAGGTCATGTCTGCTCTGCGCTCCAGGCCTTCTTGGACCTCCGAGTCCCGCCTGGGGCTCTTAAAGTGGGTTTTCTTGGTTCTTTCTCGGAGCTTGTGGTTTCTGACTTAATTGCTTCTGCTCTGCACGCCCACAGCGCCCCTCGCTGGCCACCAGGGCAGCTGGGCCTGGCTCTGTCCTCCGGCCTCCCTCACTCCCTCTGCTGGGCACTTGGGCTCTAATCAAGGGAACCCCACTGTAAGCAGCGAGGCGGGGCTGTACCATCTCCACGTGCAGCATCAGCTCTGGGCTCTCGGGTGTGTGCTCCTTCTTGTACTGATCACTGTTGGTGGGGCTCAGAGCCAACGGGGTTGGGGAGACCAGGGCTGGGTCCCGGAGACCAGGGCGTGGTGGCTGTGGTCTGCCCAGGTGAGTGCCAGCCGCAGCACCTATCTGCTCCGGCCACAGGTGATGTGGGGAAGGGGAGGGGGTGTGTGACCCTGGCTCGTCCTTCTGCAGCCCCCTGCCCAGGCTGCGCTTGCTCTCCCAGTGCCCCCCGCCCTGCCCTCCTGGTGCCCTCCACCCCTGCCCTCCCTGTGCCCCCTGCCCTGCCCTCCCAGTGCCCCCTGCCCTCCCAGTGCCATCCCACGCCTCCAGGGTGACGAGAACTCCCCAGCCTCCTGCCCTCCACCCTCTGGCATGTGCATTCATGTTCTCCAGCCCCTTGCGGCTGACCTGCCCTTCCCATCTGTCCTCAAACAGCTGGAGGGGACAGCCCCCCGCCCCCAGGACATGGAGGCACATGTCCCCCGTCCAGGGTCAGCCCCTTCCTGGAGGAAGGGGCTTCCACCTCCGTCCCCTCTCAGTGACTAAGGTGCCAGCACTGCCCCGTCCCCATACAAAGGACGGTCACTGTACTGAACTGGCTCACAAACACTCTGCGCAGCCCTGGATTGGTGTGTCATCTTGCCCCAGGGGGCTCCTTTCTGTTGCTGTAGTGTAAATTCTGGAAAGTTCCATGGAAAAGTGCTCCTGAGAGTTGGGGCAGGACGAGGATGCCTTTGACCTGCTGACGTTGGGCCCCACCTCTTTCCCGCCTGCCTTTCTCCTCTTCCCGGATGGTCTCAATAAGCGGCTGCTCTCCCAGCCCCTGAACCGTGCAGGGGCCCCGCCACCATGCCCCTTGGGCCCTCTGAACTGGCTGGGCAGCCAGACTGGTGCAGCCTCTGCCTGGACCACTCCCCTGCTGTGGGCAGAGGCTGGGGGATGTGGTGGGCATCCGCACAGTGCCAGGAGCACCGCATTATGGCTCCGCCGGCGCGTTTCCCGCCGCACAGCTGGCCTGGCTTGGGAGATTCCATTGGGGGGGTGGTGTCAGAGCCACTTGAGGTTATTTGCGGGACCGCCACATCCCTGCCCAGCTCCTCCTGACATCCGTCAGTCAGAGACCCAAGCGCCTCCTTGGCTTAGTTCCAGAAGGACCGGAGGACTGGGAGAGCCTCTGCTGCGTCCAGGAGGCCGCGGGCAGGGCAGAGATCCGCCGTGACCGCTGCCTGATGGCCCCTCAATTCTAGGGTCACTTCAGGGTCCACACTGCTTTGCGACGGCTTGGTTCTCAGAATTGCTGTTTCTTATTCAAGAAGCTTGTTCAGAAAAGTCATAGCTGGTGACCTAAATCCCAGCACTTTCAACACTGGGGAGACTTGGGGTTGGAGCCGCTTGGTGGCAGGACTTAGATTCCAGTTTGCAGGGAGCAGGCAGCTGTAGGGGCGGGAGACGCCCCGTGAGGCCCATCAGGACAGAGTGTGGACCCCCAAGCCCACAGGTGCTCCTTGGAGCGTGGGAACGCTGGCGCCTCCCTCCTGGTGCAGGGGTCACGACTCACCCCTCCTTTTTAGCTGCTTCCTGGAGCTGCCTCACCCTGTGCTTGGAGCACGTATGGACCGAATCATGTCCCCCAGAAAGATGGGTCGCGGTCCTGACCCCTGACCCCTGTGAGTGTGGCCTTGTTGACAACGGGTTTTCTCTGCGGACGTTGTCAGCTAACAATGTCGTGACGGAGAAGGGTGGGTTCTCATCCTGGCTGAGTGGCGTCTTATAAAAGAGGAGAACAGACAGAGTCATACGCAGGACAGACAGACGCCGTGTGACTGCAGAGGTAGATCATCTACAAGCAGCAAAGGAACACCAGGGATCGCAGACCGGCAGAAACTGGGAGGGAGGCAGGTACAGATTCTCAGAGCCTCAAGGGGAGCTGACCCCCTGACTCAGACCCCAGCCTGCAGAACCGTGAGAGCCGACGTTTCTGTTCTTTAAAGCAGCCTGCTGTGTGATACTTTGTCTCAGCGGCCCCAAGATACAAGACGGAGGGGAACCCATCCAGGCACGAAGTCCCCACCCTTCCGGCACCCCTGGTCAGGAGCCTCAGGCTGAAGCTCTCACTGAGGAAACAAGCCAGCCCCTTCCCGTCTGGTTGGGGAGACCCCAGCAGCCTGTGTCTGGAAGCCCTCGCCTCCGTGGAATCTCCTGCAGGGCTGGGGCTCAGACGTCCCTGGGGGACACCCCTCAGCCAGCCACAGACGGGCCTGTGTGCTTCCTGGCGGTCTGGCAGACGAATGGATCCCATGGGTCCACCTTGGGGTGCACAGCACCGACTAGACTCTGTAGCAGCCTCGGACCCTCAGACACTGCGTCATCTTGATGCTAGACCCCCCTCCTACCCATGCTCATGAGGCCACCCAGGCACCCTCCGTGGGGCTGTCACCACCACGAGGCCACACTCTCCTCACTGCGTGGACCTTCAGTCTTCCGGGGGTACTGCCAGGGGTGTCCACGCCCAAGGCCGGTCCTGGGCTGCCAGACCACCTACGCGCCGTGGGTTTTTGCAGCCCGAGGCTGTGCTCACAGTGGGGACGGCTGCGTGAGCCCCACATGGGCTGTACTGTGCTGAGGGAGGAGAAGGGGACAAGACTAGAGACCCAGAGGTGGGAGAACTTTCTAGCCTGGGACCCGCCCTCCAGTCCTGGCTGGTTTTGCCAGCAGCTTTCCCATGAGAAGTCTGTGTGAGGTGGGTCAGGGTAGGGCACGTTCAGGCAGACGCAGTGGGCTGGTTGGTGCCGGGCTGACCCTCCTTTCTCTGGGCAGGGGTGTCCCCCACTGCTTAGTCCGAGACAAACTGTCCGCCATCTCTAATCCCCTCAGGACCGCCCACTTGGCCCTGGGCTGGGGGACAAAACAGGGCCACCAAGATGTGCGCCAGAATTTAGAGTCTCCTTAAGGAGGGCAGGCAGGGCATGACCACCCTCAGCCCTGCTGAAGGCGACATCACCGTCCGTCACACTGGGGCCTCAGCTAACTCAGAGCCGCTGCGGCGGGAGGGGTGACCGACGCCAAAGAAGAGCCGGGGGCCCCACGCTGGGGCTGAACATGGCCTTGAATCCAGAGCCCTGACGCTCTGCACCAGGACAGAGTTAAACGAATGGGTTGGCCTTGCAGGATGGTCAGATGTCATCTTGGAGACGCGGAAGCCACAGGGTGACCGTCGTCCGTCTCTTCCCACCTGTTCTCCTTGTAAACGTTCACCATCCAAGTGTTTCAGTTTTAGAAAGCACAAAGTTCTCGCGAAATATATGGAGGTGTCGCCCCCCCACCCCGTATGCCTCCCCCGGGTACGCAGGACGACGCCCGACCCCGTGGACGCCTGGCCCCGTGCTGCGCCGAGGTGACCCCGCTCCAGGTAACGGCTCCAGAGCCAGCCCGTTTCCGCTGGGCGTCTGTCAGTGCTGAGGCTGCCTGTCACCATGCTGTGTCATCACCTCTGGAGCTGCCTTGCGCCCCCTGCCGTCTGTGCTGCCCCCCGCCTAGTAGTCCTTCGGAGGAGGGGAGGTGTCGTGAGGGTCCGCGGGCCCGGCCCCCATCTGTGCCATCTCGTTCCGTCTCTGCCTCTGTCTCTCAGTTTGATGTGTCCGTCAGCTGTAGCCCCAGGGACGTGGGGGTGGGAGGCAGGTGGCTGAGCACTTAGCGGGGACGCCAGCATCTGGCCGAGGAGGGGCCAGCCCTGCAGCCACCCAAGTCCACCCGTGTCTGTGTTCAGAAGCCCCGCATGCACGGCCCGCTGCCCTACACGTCAGCCTGTGTCTGTCTGTCTGTCCAGCCTGGGCTTATGTGGTCACCGAGTGTCCTCAACCACCGAGCTCAGCTGCTCCTCCTGGGCAGGCGGGTGGGCAGGCACGCAGCCTTGCGGGGCCCAACTCAGGAGTCTCACTGGGGAAGAGCCCACTGGCTCCCACCTGGCTGACATCCACCTGCTGCCCCGAGCCGGCCCCTCCCCACTATGCCCACCCACCCTGGGAGGATGCTGGTGCAAGGTGGGCGCCTGCCTTGCCTGAAGCACATGGGGCAGCTTTGGGGGTCTTCCCCAGCAGCCTCTATTGTCGCTGGCTCTGAGCTCCAAGCAGGGCCCACTGGGTCTGGCCTGGTGCCGGCTGAGGGTCTGGGGTCTGCAGGAGCGACCCCAGGGGATGACATGGTCCTCCCACGCTGACACTACTCTTTTCTCTCCACAGGAACCCCTTCGCCAATGTCCAGCTAAAGCCCACAGTGACCAATGACAGGTCTGCCCCCCTGCTCAGCTGACAGCCATGCCTTCCTCGGTAGCTCGCGCCACCCCCCCATAATCTCTCTCTCTGTTACAACCACACGTGTCTTGCGGAGAGAATGTTCTTTTCCCACCGTACTCCCTACCTGCCAGTGTTGCCCCCGCTGTGGGCTGGGCTGGATCCCGGCTCTTCCAGGAGCGGTGCCTCAGCTGTCGGGGATGAAGCAGAGTGGGGGCTGGGCCCCGGGCCTGTGAGCAGAGGGGCCGACCTCGCCACTGTCTGGTCGCTGTCCTGAGGGTCACGACCTGCCCCACCTGCTCTCGGCCTCTAGAAAGCTTGTCAATAAACGGGGCCCCCACCGGAGAGTGAGGTGTCATCTGTGGGCCTGGGCGGGGGCACCCCCCCCCTTGTCTGCAAGAATAACTGCTAAGGCCCTGTGTGCTGAACCTGGGTGAGGCATGATGGGACCCCCTCACCTGGGGCTCTGCTGGGCCCCCCCACCCCACTGCCAGACTGCCCACTCCCTAGCTCCCGACTCGAATTTTGCCGGGGGCCCTTCCCTGCCCGCGGGGTGGGCGGGAGGTGGTGTGGCCCGTGTCACTAAGCTCTGTGCCCGTGGAGGAGAGGTCCTGCCCCTGGACCTGCATGAGCCTGCCCCACCCCTGCCCGGCTGTTCCTGCTGGTGACCGGGGCCTCTGCTAAAATACAAAGTCTTTAAAACTTTATTATTGTGGCTGCACTGTCTGGCCTCTCTGGGTACAACACAGCCAAGGTGACTTAATGCTCTTAACAACAGTCTGTAGCTAGGGGGACTGGCGGGGGGGGTGGTCCCAGGCAGAGCCCGCTCCTCACAGGCCCTCAAAGGAGGGTCTGGAGCCCCTGACCTAACTGCTGTCCCCCCTCCCAGGACAGGGGCCGGGGGGAGGATACCAGGCAGTGCTCTGGCTTCCTGCCTCTGCCCCTCCTCCACCCTGCTGGGCCCATTCCACCAGGGACACACCAAGCAGGGCCACCCCAGGGCTGGGACAGCCTGAGGAGCCCTGTGGGTCTGATAACTGAGCCCGTGGCAGGGGGCTCATCGAGACGGACCTCGAGACACTGGCCCAGGCCCTTGGGTCCCCCAGCCCCACAGCTGCCCTCTGCTGCTCCAGCCGGGGCCGCGCTCAGGAGAGCATGTTGGGGTGGGGGGGCAGGCAGAGGACATGGTGGGCCCAGGGTGAGGGCAGTCAACGGGGAGGTCGCAGGGTTCCCCAAACCCAGGTCTGGCCTGAGGACCATGAGGGGCTGGCTGGTCTCCCCAGGCGGCTGGGAGCTGCTGCACCATTGCCCTTGGGGACCTCAGCCCTGACTGTGGGAGCTGCCACTCCAGACCCAAGGCCACCCCAGGGCCCAGCACCAACCCTTTCTGCTGGCCTCCCAGCCAATCAGAGCTACAAACTGGCCCCAGTGGAGAGGAGCTGAGTAGGGTGGCTGTTTTGGGGTGCACAGCACCCTGATTCCTCAAAGCTCCCTGCCTCCCACCTGCCCACGCCAGGGCCGGGCTGGGAGCCAGGGGCTGCCCTCTTCACCCTCCCCTGGGCAGGCCAGGCTCCACCAGGTGCCCCAACGACAGAGGCGAGGAAGGGCAGCCTCCCTCCTGTCCCCCGACCCGCCTGCACTCAGGAGTTCCTGTGAGCACCCCCAAGCAGAGCGCCCCCCAGGCCCAGCCTGTCCCCTCTGTGAGGGCCTTTCCCAGACCCCCCCCCCCAAAAAATACACGCTTAGCATGAGCGCTTTTTCCTTAGCTCGATTTCTCTTTAAAAAAAAAAAACAAGAAAACCATTGCACCAGCATCCTAAGCCTCAAATAACAAACAACACAAACAAAAGATAGGTCCCCGCCGGCACCCCGAAAGCAACAATAAACTTTACATGTCTTTGGCAACAATAACTTACAACCATCAGCCCACTCACTCTGGCAAGAGCAGTTACAAAAATACTCCCTGGCTGCCCGGCCCCCCTCCCCGCCCAGCCCTTCCCTGCAGACATGGCCCACAGCCGACAGGGGTGTGCCCCCCCCCCCCGCTTCCCTTTGGCACCTGGAGCAGTGGCAGTGCCCTGCAGAGGGACCACCTGCCCAACCCTGCCACGGGCACCTCTAGAACAGGCCCCATGGTGCAGGGGTGGCCCGGAAGCTCCCCATCTTCCTGGCTGCCCACCAGGGTCCCCCACTCCCAGGCTCCAGCAGCAGGGCCCAAGTGGCAGGCAGCCCAGACCCTGTTGGGGAGGGGGGCTCAAGGGGGTACAAGGGTGGAGGGCGGGCAAGTCCAGGGGTCCTCTTCTCGCATGTGGAAGGAACAATAGAGGCAGGAGACGCCCACACGCCTGACGCCATCCCACCTGGGCGAGGCACAGCATCCTTGGATTATTCCCAGGGCAGGGGCCAGCGGGAGGGCGTGCATGCCCCCACGGCCCGAGGGCAGGGTCCCTGGCCTCAGGTGGGCAGGAGTCTGAGGCCCAGCAGTTCAGCCACGTTGGGCAGGGCAGGGGAGGCGCTGCAGGTGGGGGTCCACCCTTGGACGTGTACGTGTGTGAGTGCATGGACGCCCGTGGCCCCGGGGACTGCAGGCTGGGGGGCTATGGGGGAACCTAGCAGCAAACCCAAGTGTCTGGGTCAAGCCTGCCCCAAGCAGCCTGGGGGCAGGCCCCAAGCCTTGGTCACAGTCCTAGCTGGGGCTCTGTCCTGCCCTGCGCCTCTGAGGCCCGGGGGGGCCAAAAGCTGCTGCTGTCATTCCTGGTCACCGTCCTGGACTCAGCCTGCGGCAAGCAGCAGTGGCTGCAGCAACACCAACCTCCAAGAGGTCAGTGCCACCTGGCCTCAAGCCTCTGTACAGCTGCCCCCAGCGCCTCGGGCAGGACCTGCCAAACAGAAGTCCACGTCAGGGAGTGGAGGACCTGGGACTCGGGGCTCCTGAAACACCCAGAGCCCTCCCGGCCTCCAGGGCACCTAGGCTGCAGCAGGCCTGCCTCCCCAGAGCTGACAGTACTCAGATGGGTAGGCCAAGACCTGAAGGAGGAAAAGCCGGCCCAGGCTCACAGTCGCCTTCTGGTGGCCTGCGTTTCGGGCACACTGAGTGCCAGGGCCGCAGGTGAGGACGGCCGCCCTGCCCGGGAGGCTGCTGCCACAGGCCGAGGTAGGTTGGAGACGGACTGGGTCTGCCCGGGAGCTGCGGCTCCACGGAGGAGGAGCCTTTGAAGTGGTCCCAGGAGAACCCCAAGGAGCTCGCCAGGCACATGGGGGTGGGGAAAAGCGTCCCCCTGAATGGTGAGTCCCCGGCCCCTGCCTGCTCACCCACGGGTCCCACTGCGCGGACCTCACCTCCCACGGCCTCCACATCTGAGTCGGAGACTTGCGTGATGGAGAAGCGGGACCCCGGCGCGGGCGACACGGTGAAGCGGGAGAAGGGGCTGGGCGCGGCCGACTTGGGCGGCGCCGACCGGGTGGGCTCCGCCGCCCCCGCGCCCAGCGCTGTCGCCAAGGCTGCCTCGGCCGGCATCAGGGGGAAGTCGTCATCCCACTCGAACCCGCCGCCTGCAACCCATGCCATCATTGGCGTCCGCGGGCCGCAGGAGTCCGCGTGCCAACTCGCCCTCCGCCAGCCCCTCGCCCTCGGGCCCAGCGCACGCCCAGTCCCCTCGGCGTTCGCCCCGCCCCTAGCTCACCCTCTTCCGCCGCGGTGCAGCCGGGGGCGTGGTCGTCGTTCCGCCGCAGCCTGCCCGGGGGGCTGGGGGAGCAGGGGCTGCCCGCCAGGAACGTGGGGGGCGCCTCCTTTGCGCCTGGGAAAGGCTCCCCGAGCTCGCGAGTGGGGCTCTCCTGTAGGGACCAGAGCGCACGTGGCTCGGGCGGCCTCGGAGGCGGCTAGGCCCACCCATTGCCCTGGGGACCCCAGGGCAGCTCCCACCTGGTCGAAGAGGTAGACCGTGACGTCGTCGAAGAAGGACACTGCCTTCTTCTTGCGCTCCAAGTCCTCGCAGAAAGCCTCGGAGAGCAAATTGGGCATCTTGAGAAGGCTGCGCAGGTTGCGCGCGCTCTGGCTCTCGGCCACCACCACCGGCACGGACGGCGCCTCCTCCTCGCTCTCCTCGCTGGGCTCCTGGATGCTGTAGCATCGAAGCTCCTCGTCCGACTCGTCGCTGTCCTCGCTGTCCTCCTCGTCCTCCTCTGGCCTGCCCTTGGGGGCTAGGCCCGGTAGGGCCAGGCAGAGCGGGGCTCTAGGGGCGCCCACACCCGCCGCCCGCTCCCCGCCGCTGGCCCCTGTCTGCTCCTGTGGGGCCTCCTGGGGCTCGGGACGGTCATTCTCTGAGCCTGGTGGGACTGGGATCAGCAGGAAAAACTTAGAGCGGCCGGGGTTGGTTGCGGGCAGCGCCTCGGCTGGTCCTTGCAGCCCGGGGCAGGCGCTGGGCTCTGGGGATGACTCTTCCTCCGGCAACGGCGGCGGGGATGCCTCCCTAGGGCCAGCGTCCTGCGCCTCCCCGGGCAGCCCAGGCCCCAGGCAGCTCTGTGCAGACTGCTTGGGGCTCTGCGGGCTCTTCAGTCCCAGCTCCGGCGCGGGGGCAGGGACGACACAGCTGAGCTTCTCTTTGGTGCCCGTGGAGGGCTCGGGCTCGGTGTCCAGGTCTGAGAAGTAGGCTGAGTCACGGTAGGGGTTCTTCTCGCTGAGGCCGCCGCCCAGAGAGGCAGAGAGCCGCGTCTCCGGCACCGGGCTCTCGCCCTCCGATGCCAGCTCCCCAAAGGTCTCAGCCTCCCGGGGCTCGTGTGCATCCTTGAGCACGAACTCGGGGGACTCATAGTTCTCTGTGTCGTAGCCGCTGTCCAGGGCGCGGGGCTGCCCGCCAGGAGTGCCAGTGGCTGACGGGCTGAAGACCTCGCAGCCGCCATCACTGGCCGAGGATGGGATGTCCAGGGAGTCCAGGGAGTCCGGGGTCTCCACCTGCTTCTGCAGGGAGCGGAAGGCTGGCGCCCCGTCCAGCTTCTCCGTGGGGGGCCCATCACTGGACAAGTCTGTGAAGATGCCTGAAGTGGCCTCTGTTGTGTCCTCGTCCTCACTGCCGGGCACCTCAGGCTCGGGGGAGCTGCTGCGGCTGTCGGCGGTCCCTGCCAGCTCAGAGGCGGTGGCCCGGCTGCCAGCAGCAGGTGTGGGCGAGGCAGGCAGAGTGGCCGGGGCCTCCTCTGCGGGAAGTGGGGCTCCCTCCTGGGAGGGGGAGGACACAGAGGGAAGAGGCGGCTGGGGTCTGCGGGAGCCCCCCGCCTGCTCGGCAAGCTTGGGCTCTGCCCCAGGGTCCTCATTCCCATTCACAGCTGCCTCTGCCCACGGGGACACGATGGCACCAGGGGCCAGGCCCTGAGCAGGGCGAAGACGGGGGAGACTGAGGCAGTGGTCTGGCTCCTGGTCAGGGGAGGCTATCTGCGGCCCAAGGAGAGGCTCTCCTGGGTCCTCCTGGGCCAGGAGGTGGCCTGGCTCAGGCTCAGCCAGGGGGCTCTGCTCTGCGTCAGGGCAGCCGTCTGCGCAGCCCGGGCTCCATGATTCCGGAGCGCGGCGACCCCTGCCGCTGTTGTTGTTGGCCGACATGTTGGAGCTCCAGTGTCTGTGCTGGGCCGCCCTGCGCGCCTCGGCCTCCCCTGGCTCCTCTCCTCCTGGCGATGGCCTGGCCCCGAAGCTCCCCGAGGGTGACGCGCACAGCGGGTCCTCGAAGAAGCCCGGGCAGAAGGCGGCCGCGCCCCAGCCCGCGTCCTCGGCGCTTGGCTCCGCCAGCATCAGGGCCCGGGGCGAGGGCGAGCGCGAGGGGCCGGCCGGGACCCGTGCGCGGCTCCTGCGCGAGTAGTAGTCGCAGTGGCCCCAAAGGCCGCCGGCGGGGGGCGGGGGGCCCAGCAGCGGCTCCATGGCCAGAGAGGCAGCGGCGCTGCCATCCGAGTCGTAGTCGTCATCGTCGTCGGGGCGCGCGGCGTGCGGGCTGCGGACACAGCCGGCGCAGTCGGGGTCGTGGCCAGCGGCAGGCTCCTCCAGACGAATGAAGTACTCGCGGCCTACCGAGGGGCTGTACGCGCTGAGCACGGGCACCACGCCGGGCGGGGCGCCGTGGGGGGCGCACAGCTCCTGCAGGCGCGCAGAGCGGCCCGGGCTCGGCGCGCCCCCCGGCGGCGCAAAGGCTTCGGCGCCGCGGCCCGCCTCCCACTTGTACTCGAAGTTGAGGCCGCGGCTCGTCTCGGTCACCGTCAGCACATCGTCGCCCTCCGCGTGGAAACCGTCGCCCGAAAACTGCTCCAGCAGCGGGAAGGACGAGGCGGCGACCAACTCGGCGGCGCCGCCCAGCGCCAGGCCCGCCAACCCCGCCCCGGGGCCCGCGCCACCGCCCTCGCCACCCACGCCGGGCCGCAGCGAGCGCCAGCGCCTCTCGAACTCCTCCTCGGCCTCAGTGGCGCCCTTGGCGCACAGGTAGGACAGTAGCAGGTGCACCTCTTCGGCCGTGGGCCGCTGCTCCGGCTGCAGCCAGCAGAACTGCATCACCTCGTACCTGCGGGGAGGCGGGGCTCCGTCAGGCCTGGCCCGACCTGTCCTCTCCCACGGCTCGACCCCTCCCACCACAGTCTCTGAGAGGCCCCGCCCCGCCTACTGCCAATCCTGGGAGGCCGTGCCCCCTCCCTGAGAGGCCTCGCCCTAGCCAGAGGCCCCGCCCCACCCCTGGAGGCCCCGCCCCACCCAGAGGCCCCGCCCAGCCAGGGAACCTCCCCACCCACGCCCCAGCCCAGCCCCCTTCAGAATAGGGCAACGGTTTCCTCATCTGGGGGATGGGAGGGCCCCTCTTGCTCACACTGAGAGTCTTTTAAGGACAGTTTAGGGGGTCTCGAGCTGAATTAAGTGAGCCCCCAAATCTCCAAATTAGTCCCAGAGGTTGGGGGCAGGCGGTGCACTGGGGCACCTTCCACTGGATCAGCAGTCCCCTCCAACCCGCGATCAGTTCAGAGGCCGGACACCTTCAGGGCAGGCGGCCAGTGGAGGTCAAGGGCGGGCCCTAGAGGTCACTGCCGCCCGAGGGGAGGCCAGGGAGAGCGGGAAACCGCCTTTATCTAGGCCTTCCTCCCCTGGGCTCCCCAGCGCAGGGTAGCCCCAAAGCTGAGCAGGTGGGCGGGGCCAGGTGACATCCACCCTGGGCCCGAGGGTCCTCTCCAGGCCCAGTGGGGCAGGGCAGGGGGCCCCAGGCGACACCCACCCAGGCCTGGGGGTCCTCACCAGCGGTCAGACAGGGGCAGCTGCAGCTGGGGCTTGGGCAGCTTGAGCTGCTGCTCCCTGATGGCGTAGGCCAGTACCTGGCGGTCCGAGTGGTGCGGATAAGGCTGCACACCCAGCTCAAAGAGTTCCCAGATGGTCACCCCCAGGGACCTGCAGGGGCACGGGCATGAGAGGGCAGCTGGGCAGGGCACAGACCCTGAAGGATCACGAGCCTCTGAGCCTTGGACACCCACGGAGCAATTCCCTGCATCACATGGAGAACTGGCACGCCTTGCCAGCGTCTGGGGCGAGGCCTCAGCACACTGCCCTTCCAGAAGGGCAGCTCATATCCCAGCAAATGCACAGACATGCCACTGGCAGGCCCAGTGCCTGGAGCCTCAGCAAATAAAACCTAGACTGGCCACCTTGCACAGACTCAAGTCTGTTCATTGGTTCGTTCGTTCATTCATTCACTGGCGTATACTGAGGGCCACACGCTACTGGGTGTAGGGCTGCCTCACCAGGCTCCCAGTCTAGTGGGCTGGTAGAGGCTGGAAGGAGGGGGTGAAGCCCGGGCAGGCCATGCCCACCAGGCACCACGGGGGCTTCTTGGGAGGTGGCCCTGGGTGACCACTGCACTGAGGCCGGGCATCAGGGGGGCGTCTCGGGGGAACAGTCCTGGGTGACCACTGCTCTGAGGCTGGGCACCAGGGGGGCTTCTCGGGGGGGTGGCCCTGGGTGACCACTGCTCTGAGGCCGGGCACCAGGGGGGCTTCTCGGGGGGGTGGCCCTGGGTGACCACTGCTCTCAGGCAGCAGCATCCTCTCCCAGCGTGTGGGGCTGGGAGAAGGCAACTGGGTTCCTCCTTGTGGGCAGTGACTTCACTTGACTTCTTGGGACCCCAGCTGTCCCTGGAGGTGAGGGGGGTGAGGGGTGGTGCAAAGAAGTCACGGTGGCCTCAGACATGTCACTTGGGACTCCAGTCAGCCTGCAGCCAGCGGGGGTGGGGGGAGGGTGGGCAGGGAAGGGTTACCTCAATGGAAGGGCGAAGACTGGGGAGAATGAGGGATGTTGGTGAGGGGGGCATGGTTAAATGGCTTCAGGGAGGCCTCTAGAAAGCTCAGGAAGGGAGGTGTCCATGGGTGGTCTATGGGTCCAGGCTCCGGACTCGTCAGGGGCAGAGGTGAGGTCAGGGATGGGGGGAAACGGGCTGGTCAAGACCAGGAACAGGTAACTGCCAAGGCTGGAAGTGTCCCCCATGGTCCGCCCAAGGCGGTGCCTTCTGGCTCCTCAGGGACAGTGCAGCCCCAGGCCCCAGCCCCAGCCTGCCCCGGTCAACCTCCCAGCTCAACATGGCCTGACCCTTCTACCTCCCAAAGGCAGCTGCACCCCCACCCAGACCCTCCCACAGCCTGCGTTGAGGCCCATCCCCCGTAAGTGTGTGCCTCGTATGGCTATTCACAGTGGGTGAGTGGACCCAAGCTGTGCACTGACCCTTCCGCTGCAGGTGTCAGCCCAAAGGGTCCTGGGAGTCCTAGCCACCTTGCCTGTCGGGTGGCGCCTCCCCAGAGCAGCCCTTTGGGCTCTCACTGCCCCACCCCCAGCCTCCCCACCGTGCCGCCCCCGCCGGCCGCTCACCACACATTGCTGGCCTTGGTCTGGTCCACCACCAGCAGGTTGCTGTGTACCTCGTCCACCAGCTCCGGCGCGATCCAGCGCAGCGGCACCCACAGCTGGTCGGCAGTCACGAAGTAGTCCTCCTGCGGGGGCGCACGATCAGCTCCGAGCCGGCGGCCGACCTGCCCCGTGCCCGCGCGGCCCCCCACTCACTCTGTACTTGCAGTGTGACAGGCCGTAGTCGCCGATCTTCACTGTCAGGTCTGCCGAGAGCAGGCAGCTCCTCAGGGCCAGGTCGCTGGGGGGGAGGGGTGGGTCAGCGGGCAGCGCGACGGGGGCAGGAAGGGTGTGTGAAGCCGCCGCCCACCCTCCCTTCGGCCCCAGCCCTGTCCCAGCTCCGGGGATGGAAAGTCAGCTTGGGTGGGGCCTCAAACATCGGGGCAGAGGAAGAAAGCGGGACCTTCGCCGCCAAGGTCCCCGGCGAAGGCCCAGCGGGTCCGCACTGGAGCCCCGCCCCCGCCCCGCCCCGAGGGTGGAAACCCACTCCTGGGCCACCAGTCTGTTGAGCTGCCCGTCTGTGTTCTGGGCCTGGCCGCTGCTCTGCTCAGCCTGGCCACCCAGCCCCAGGACAGAGGGCGGCGGGTGAGCGTGCAGTATCCCTCCTGGGGCTGTGGCTTAACACCCTCCCTGCCTGCCTGGTGGTCCTGGGTGTTTGGGGGCGCAGGGCAGTGAGGCAAAGACGGGTCGGCGCACATCGCCACACTGCTGCTCTGTAGAGGACTCTGGGGTAGGTGGTAAATGGGGGGGCCCGTCCTGAGTCTGGGGCTGCCTCCCACGGAGGGAGGGGGGTCGTGGGAGGCCCATGGCGGGGCCAACGGC